CTGAACTCGGATCTCGATTTCCGAATGAAAGCTGAATTCCTAGAATATTCTTGGGTCACTTTTGAATTATTGGTATAAATTATGCGATAATGTTATGGTCTTGTGCAATAATTGCGAAACAAGTTCAAAGAGAAATTGGAGTCAGGGATCAAAGTTCCAGAAAAAAAGATAAGTTAGGGTTAAAGCATCAATTGCCATAGATTGAAGACTAGACTTCAAAAGGGTCAAACTTTAGAAACCACAAGTGAAGCTTTCCAAGAGAGAAACTCAAATTTGTTGGTAGCATGACCTATGGTTTTTGTTTTCTCTATTGAATGATCATAGAGCTGATAATAAATGGGGATGATGATATGATAGAAGGTTTTCTTTTTCTTGCAAAACATGCTCATCGTTTCAGAGCACAAACCGAAGTGGACAGCTAGTGTTTATTCTCAAGGCCACAAAGATTTGACAAAAATTTAATAGACCTAGTGTGGATGGAAATAGATTTTTCTACACGAATAAATATACACACATCTGCTGCTTTCTAGCTCATGTTCGATTCTTCCTATAACAATGGGAAACTGACCAAGTTAGGTGAGAAACACGACCTTCATTCTCGAAGCTGATTTCATCATCTAACATATCCAAGAGAACCTCAAAAGAAGATACCTTAATATATCAGAGCATGACCGTTTTGTTTTTTCAATGTGAAAGGGGATAGTATAGGGTCTTGCCACCGTGACCACTGCTTAAGCATCTCCATATTGAAATATTTACACCAATAAAATGACTGGACGCAAATAGATATGGAACCCTCGTATACTTGACTTGGTATGTTGCCATATAATTTGTCATTTTCTGCGATTTCTCACCGATCTTCAGAATATTGTGTGTATCCTCTTTGTATGTTTCCATATTACTTTGGGGACTACATAAAGAATGACCATTGCTTGCATTCATTATTCTAGTGAAATATAGAAACCATTCAGTATATTTTTTCTGTAGCTAACATGGTAAGCTTCCACATCCTTCATGCATAATACTCCATGTCTGTGCCTTGTATGTATATTATCTCCCTCTATTTACTAGCTTAAACTTTTGGGTTTGACTTTTCTAATTAGTAATGCTATAGAGCTTACCTACAATGGTGTCCTTCATGAACGAAAAAAGCATATTAAAATGATGGGTTAATACCACGAAAGATCCTAAACTGGTACACTTGTGACAGATTACCCCAAATTATTTTTTTGACCACAAAAAATTTCAAACTGGTACATCTGTGACAATTTTACCCCGAACTATTTTTTTGACCACCAAAAATCCCAAACTGGTACATCTGTGACAATTTTACCCCGAACTAATTTTTTAATATTATTTTTTCGATTTTTTTTAGTTTTTCTTATCTTTTCTTTTTCCTTTCCTTTTTTTTTTTTTTTTTTTCCTTCATCTTCAACCTTTGGCCAGTCGCCGGTCCGGTGACCGACCAAAGGCGGGTGCCGGCGAGGTCGGCCCCGCAGGCCGCTGACGAGGCTGACCTCGCCGGCAATTGGCCAGGTCGGCCTTGCCCCACCCCTGGCGAGGGGTCATCCTCGCCGTCGCTGCCGGCGAGGGGTCATCCTCGTCGTCGCTGGTGAGGTTTGACCTCGCCGCTTCTGGGCGAGGCTGACCTCACCACGCCAGTTGCCGGCGGGGCCGAGCCTTGCCAGCGACAGCGAGCCCGACCCCTCGCTGGCAACTGGCGGGGCCGAGCCTCGCCAGCGACGGCGAGCCCGACCCCTCGTTGGCAACTGGCTAGGTCGGCCTTGCCCACCCATGGCGACGACGGGGCCAACCTCGCCAGTTGCCGGCGAGGGATTGTCCTCGCCGTCGCTGGCGAGGTTCGACCTTGCCGCTTCTGGGCGAGGCTGACCTCGCCAGTTGCGGCGGGGCCGAGCCTCGCCAGCCACGGCGAGGACAACCCCTTGCCGGCAACTGGCGAGGTCGAACCTCGCCAGGGGTGGGCAAGGCCGACCTCGCCAGTTGCCGGCGAGGTCGGCCTTGCCATTGGCCGGCGGGGCCGACCTCGCCGGCCCCCGCCTCTGGCCAATTGGCGACCGGCCAGAGGTTGAAGATGAAGAAAAAAAAAAGAAAAGGAAAGGAAAAAGAAAAGATAAGAAAAACTAAAAAAAATCGAAAAAATAAAAAATAATATTAAAAAATTAGTTCGGGGTAAAATTGTCACAGGTGTACCAGTTTGGGGTTTTTGGTGGTCAAAAAAATAGTTCGGGGTAAAATTATCACAGATGTACTAGTTTGAGATTTTTTGTGGTCAAAAAAATAATTTGGGGTAAATCTGTCATAAGTGTACCAGTTTAGGGTTTTTCGTGGTATTAACCCTAAATGATTGCTGATGCATTCAATAACATATTAGATGAGAATGTTGCTTTCACAGTTTGATTTCCGAACTATAGTTGGTTTCCTTACAACCACCTTGAGTTTGATGAGGGATGTTAGTTAATATATGATATGTTGTATACTAGATTTGATACGTTCCCATTTAGGCTCCGTTCGTTTGGCGAAAAATATTCTCCCGGAAAATATTTTCCGGGTTTTCCGATGTACGGGGGGCGGAAAACGTTTTCCGTGGGAAAATATTTTCCTTCTCCCCATCACAAAATAGCCTAAGTCTACGGAAAATGACTTCCGCTTCTTCAAAAGCGAAAATCATTTTCCGGAGCTTCTTCTTCTTCTTTTTCACTAAGGTCGCCCGGCCGCCGCCGGTCGCCGCGCCCGCCGGCCGCCCGGCCGCCGCCCGCCCGCCCGCCGCCGCCGCCGCCGCCCCCGCCCGCCGCCGCCGCCCGGCCGCCGCCGCCGCCGCCCGCCCGCCGCCCGCCGCCGCCGCCGCCCGCCGCCGCCGCCGCCCCGGCCGCCGCCGTCGCCGGCCCGCCCGCCGCCGCCGCCGCCGCCGCCGCCTCGCCCGCCGCCGCCGCCGCCGCCGCCGCGCCGCCGCCCCGCCGCCGCCGCCGCACGCCCGCCGCCGCCGCCGCCCGCGCCGCCGCCGCGCCGCCGCCGCCGCCCGTCGCCGACGCCGCCGCCGCCCCGCCGCCGCCAGGCCGGCAGCCGCCCGGTCGCCGGCGTCGGTCGCCCGGCCGCCGCCGGGCCCCGCCGTTACGCCGTCGCCGGCCGCCGCCGCCGACGTTGCCGGCTGCCGCTCGGTCGTTGGCTGCCGTTGTCGCGGACGCCGACGCTGCCGGCCGCCGGCCGCCGCCGGACGCCGCTGCGGCCAAGCCGCGCCGCCGGAGCCGGACTGCCGTCGCGGTCGCTTTGCCGGTTGGCCGCTGGTCGCGTCGCCGGACGTTGGCCGCTTGCCGCTGCCCGCGCTGCCGTCGAAGCCGCCGCCGCTGGGTCGGACGCTGCTGCCGACGCCGGGCCGCCAGGCGCCGCCGCCCGGACGCCGGACGCGGCGCGCGGCCGCGGACGCCGCCGCGATCGCCGGCGAAAAATATTTTCTCCGAAACTTTTTCATATTGGTCGCTGAATACCGGAAAATTATGTTCCGGGAAAACATTTTCCAGGAAAATGATTTCCAGGAAAATATTTTCTAAAAGGAGAATATTTTCCGCCAAACGAACGGAGCCTTAGTTTGATATTTTTTGTGATTTACCGAATCTCACAAGTACTTAAAATATTACAAGTATCTTGTATATATGTCTTTACATTCTATCTAAAGGATCAGCATTGCTTTATTCCTTATTCTAGTGAAATATAGAATCCCTTTGTTACGTTTTTATTAATAGCTAACGCAATCTCTCTATTTGCTCTTAACTTGCTTGATAAAGGATTCAAACAAGAACTTCCATGGACACTAGGGTGGTGGTTTTTCCCTTTCCCTTTTTCTTTGGTGACGCAAAATTTAAATTTTTTTCTCATAAAAATCTTACTAATTTCGACATAAGATTTTATTTTTCCGTTTTTACTCTTTGGGAGGAGCAGTCAGGTAGGGCCATGGTTGTTTAATTAAGCTGGATTCTAAATGAAAAATTATATTTTTACAACTCTTTTATGCTGGAAACATTTTAGATTTCCAAATTTAGCACGTAAAAAGGAGAAAAAAATTACTTGCAAGGAAACATATTCCCTCAACTTTGTTCCAATATGTACTTCCTTTTGATCATCATATTCGTCTAAAATATTCTTTTAGTCAGGAATCAAACCATTGATCTTCTCCCTTTGGCTATGCAATCAAATTGATTATAATTTGTGTTTAATTTACAATTGTAAATAGCCCAACATATTCTCACCCATATATAAACATGTTGCTTTGGCTCCACACACCCACTACTGCAATTTTCACCCTTTGCTTTGCTCATGCAAGAATTATCTAGAACATGGTCAAAAAGTCCACGTCAAACGGCATACCGTTTTGCCTACCAAATCACAGTGAACACTTAGCCACGTAGGATGCTCTTCTCCCATTTTTTTCTTTTCTTGTCTTATTTGCAAGCCCTCCCCGAGCGACTAGTGATTACTCTACTTCCACCATCTCTATATATATGAGTGTCCCTCGAGTCTTTGTGGTGTGAAAAGCTTCGAGCTCAAAACACTTGTTGCAGAATTCAGTGTCTTCAATTTGCAAAATGGGGTTCTTCTCAAAGGTGGTGAAGAACAAAATTCTGGTTTTTGTAATATTTTCACTGCATTTTGAGAGTAGTTTTGCGAGGGGAAGGCATGGGAAACATTGGGAGAGTGATCAAAGTAAGGGAGTGGAAATAGGAGGAATAGAGGATCTAGTGACGGACTTGCCGGGCCAACCGGCGGTCGATTTCCAGCACTTCGCGGGTTACGTTCCAGTGGATGAGAGGAATAGAAGAGCACTCTTTTATTGGTTTTTTGAGGCAGCCACTTCTAGACCTGAAGAGAAACCTCTTGTTCTTTGGCTTAATGGAGGTAATCCTAGCTTATGGATACTCTCTCTCTCTCTCTCTCTCTCTCTCTCTCTCTCTCTCTCTCTCTCTTTTATGAGAACAGACCTCTCAAAGTGCTCTCATTTTTCTTCCACTCTATCTCCAAGATGCTTTTAGTTCGTCAATGTTGGCTGTCGTTAAATTATTTTGAGAGGAAGGTTAACTAACATGTTTGACTGAGTTGACGGACAATGATTTGGTGCTGTCGGATCTAAAGTCTTCAAACATATGTCTATTTCTTGAATATCATAATTCGAAAAAAGTACTTTTATTGGTGTCAATATCTTTATACATGCATCTCTTAAAATGAAATATGACTTATCAAATAGATAAAATTACTAAAGTTGAAAGGTACATCGGTCACTATTTGGGTAATACTTACCCTAGTGAGTTTTCTAACTTTGATTTATACAATACGAAAGTATGTCAAATAGATTTCTTTTTGTGAATGATTAATTAGACTATGTATGACCCCTTATTATGAAGTGACAACTACTTGTTCATATTCAAACACGCGTATTAACACTGTTCATGGAAACAGTAGCTCAGACTGATGATACTATTACTTGTTATAAAGCCTTTTATCTTTATTGAACTGAACACCATCTAGTTGGTCGACCACCATGATCTCCATTCCAGTTTGTTGACTAAATCCATTGGGAGTGAGTACATGTGATTTCTCTCATTTGTTTTTTGTGTGCGTCATGGTTCGATCATAGGGTTGGCGATGATTCTAATTAGGCCCATCTCTTTAGGGTTATTCGGAAGAAAAAAAGACTTTTAGGTGGTCCTAGCCCTAGCTATCCCCCAGGTTTTTCTCGTGATAAATTTTCTAACGTAATTTTCACTTTTCTATGTTGGCGAGGAGCGGATTAATCAAATTCATACCATCAGTTGCGGCAGATCCACAGCTGCTCAGCTTAAAGATAGGTGACTTTAATATAATAACCTAATTATGTTCCCTCTACACACTCGGCTTATCATGGTGATTAAACATAGTATTTTTCAGCGATATTTAGCCAATAGCTTCTCTGTCCGATGGAGAAAGAATAGAATACAAAAAGCCATGATTGTCATCATCACCGCAAAAGGGCTGGAATAAATCTTGCAGAGTTTATATTATCTCTCAATATATATTTATGATTCTTGCATCTAGACAAAGTTTTTTGATCCCTTTTTTTGACCCCTTGTCATTTTCATAATTTGTTGCCGCACAAGTCTTTTTCTAAAAGACTCCAATTTGGTACTTTATGTGCACTTTGTTCTCTAGTAAGGTGACAAGATGCTCATGGCGTGTTTCTGTGGGTGTTTCAGGTCCTGGGTGCTCTTCTGTGGGATATGGTGCAACACAGGAAATTGGACCTTTTATAGTGGACACTAATGGTCATGGACTAAAGTCCAATCCCTACGCTTGGAATAAGGGTATGGTTGATAGGTTTACCCCCCCTCTCTCTCTCTACATAAATATTTATATTTTTATCATGCACGCACGTGATTAAGCAGTCATAAAAGAAACCCTAACAAATTAATTAAATAAGCTAATAATTTTGGGATAAACTGCTGGGAGATTCCTCGACATGAGGCCATTCTTCAAACAGGACACATGTCAGCCAATAGAGACGTTTGGAAAAATTCATATTACCTTTCCCCAATGACCCATCTTGGAAGTGCTGCTTTTGTGACGGATAAGAATATATAAGATTGATCAAGGTGCAAAAAATGATGCGTGTTAGTGCTTGTTTTAGTACAATGTTATGATGAGATTAATGAAATGATTAAATGGGCATATGATATATTTTATTCTTTGTTGATGACGCAGAGGCCAACATGTTATTCCTGGAATCTCCTGTTGGTGTGGGCTTTTCATACTCAAACACAAGCAGTGATTATGATAACCTAGGAGATGACTTTACAGGTGATTTTCGTTTGCAAGGTTCTTGATGCATTTATGCAGAAACCTGTGGCTGCGAACTTCTGTTTTTCCTGACCTCTTTTTTACACGGAAAGGGTCTTTTACATGTAGTCCTATAGATATAATTCCTTTTGCTTAATTTCTTTTCCTGTTCCCTTTTTATTTTTGTTTGTCAAAACCTTGAATTCTAAAAGTTCTTGTTGATCGATCAGCGAATGACGCGTATACTTTCCTTCATAAGTGGTTTGCAAAGTTCCCGTTGTATCAAACACGGGAATTTTACATTGCCGGAGAAAGCTATGCAGGTATTCGCCATCTAAATAAATTGTTTGACTTCATTTAACAAAAAATAGGCAGTAATTACTTTTGGAGCTTGGCCACAGGAAAATATGTGCCGGAGCTGGCTAAACTCATCCATGACAAGAACAAGGATCCTTCCCTTCATATTAATCTCAAGGGTATCATGGTAAGTATATAATTATAAGTTGTAAGATCTATTCCTTTTTGCTGCATATAAACACATATATACAATGAGTCAGCATTAAAAGGAAATTTTTAAGAGATGGTCCATCTAATGTGTGTGTGTGTGTGTGTGTGTGTGTGTGTTTTGCAGTTAGGTAATCCTGAAACATCTGATGCTGAGGACTGGATGGGACTAGTGGATTACGCATGGAGCCATGCAGTGATCTCTGATGAAACCCACAAAGTGATCAGAAAGACCTGTGACTTCACCAGCAATAACACATGGAGCAACGATGACTGCAGTGAAGCTGTGTATGAATTACTCGAACAATACAAGCAGATCGACATCTATAGTCTCTATACCTCGACGTGCATCGGTGATTCGGCGAGCTCCGATGACAAGTCATACCAAGTCATGATGAAACGTACATCGAGCATGGTGTGCTGTCGTAATTGTTTATGACTACATAGAATGATGCATAATCATATCTCCGTCTGGGAATTTATCCATCTTCCATAAAGGAGGCCAATGGAACTGGAGTTCCACGTTCGATTTTGAGTTAGAAATGCTAAAAATGATGGATCAAAGTTGACTTGAATTATCACAGAAAGATGCACATTTTACTTTATAACTCAAGATTAGGCAGAGAATTTTTTTCCATTCAATAGTCTTTGTTTTATTTTTTAGTTTTCTCCAATAAAATTTTTTCTTCTCATTTTGATTTAACATAGTGAAGCCTAAATAAATCAGATGCCTAGGATAATGGGTGGCTATGATCCATGCCTGGATGAGTACGCAAAAGCTTTCTACAACAGGCCTGACGTTCAAAAGGCCCTCCATGTGAGTGATGGTCATCATCTCAAGAATTGGAGCATTTGCAAGTATCTCTCTCTCTCTCTCTCTCTCTCTCTCTCTCTCTCTCTCTCTCTCTCTCTCTCTCTCTCTCTCTCTCTCTCTAACGTTTGCACCTATTTTTCAAGTATGTAATCTTGCACTTTCAAGATTTCTTCTATTCTTTTCAATTAAATTGATCCTTTATGTTGTGTAATGGACGATGCACCGATTGCAGCTTTAAAATATTCAATGACTGGTCAGACTCCAAGAAATCTGTTATTCCAATATACAAGAAGCTCATTGCAGCAGGGCTTAGAATTTGGGTCTACAGGTACTTAAAATATTCAAACTTTGCCATGATTATTCAATTTAAGTGACTGAACATAACTCACCAAACTATGATCATAAACCTTCTACTTATTTTTATCTTGATTTCTTTTTCCTGGTTGCATCAGTGGGGACACAGATGGAAGAGTCCCAGTGCTTTCCACAAGATATAGTTTAAGTTCTTTGGGTTTGCCCATCACCAAGGCTTGGAGGCCCTGGTATCACCAAAAGCAGGTAATCATATAATACCTTCAATAGCTTGCAACATATTTATATATCTCCCAAACGGGAAGCTCCAATTGATGCGAAATGCAGGTGAGTGGTTGGTATCAAGAGTACGAGGGACTGACATTTGCGACGTTCAGAGGGGCTGGTCATGCGGTGCCGGTCTTCAAGCCAAGTGACTCACTCGTGTTCTTCTCTTCTTTTCTCAACGCACAAGATCTTCCATCTGCTCGTTGAGGAAACCGCAAGGAAACAAAACCAAAAAGGAAGAGTCTTCTATATGAACTCAATTTTCGAAACAGTTAAGGCTACATAGAGCAGGGAAGAGCCAAGGTAGGAGAATAAACAGGGTTTGGACTTTCAGTTTTGGCAGCAGTGAATTTGGAGAATAGTTATTGCACTTCTACTCTTCTTTCAATCTAAGAGGCAGTCTCAATTGTAATCCTCACTCCAGATCTGTTTGGAATCTGATTCCATTCAAATCTTATTGAAACATGATATATTCAAAATGGTAACCTCAATCTTCGATATGCTTCGATAGAAATTAGTGAATTACTAAATCAAATCAATCAAATAAGACCGATGAATGTTTTCCTAACCTTGGAGTCGCTTTGTATCCTTGTTTACACGGAAATATAGTAAGACCGAATGTCGGAACCGCTGACGCCTATTCTTTTATATCATACAATTTTTAGAATTATCAATTATTGGTTCCTTTTGTAAACTACTATTTGGTATGTCGGTGAGATTGTAGACGCCTATTCATTTAAGTCATTGAGCAATAGCTCTTACTGAAATCGAATATTCCAACCACGAGTATGAATGATTGCTGACACCAGTCGCCCCTTTATTCATTTTTTGTTTATCGAAAAACAACAAGAAAAATAAAATCAAGGCTGATCCCACTATTTATCTTGGCTCAATTCTATAAATTCTATTATGCTATTACACATAACCTTTTATTAGATCCTCTCTAAAGCCTAAATATTTCATATTTTTTATTATCGTTTCCTTCCATGTCCCTCTAGATCTTCCCTTACCCTTTTTAAGTAATCCGTGCTTTCATCCCTTGTTCACATCTCCTCACTAAAGCATCTGAACTCGTTGAACACGACCCAAAACCATGTCAAGCGGGAAAAATTGTCTAAAAAGTCCTAAACTTATTGTACGACAGCTAATTCAATCCGAAACCTTTCAATTGTGCCAATTTAGTTCTAAACCTTTTGAAAACTTGTCAATTTAGTCTTAAACCTTTCAATTGTGATAATTTAGTTTTAAAACTTTTGAAAATTTGCTAATTTGGTCCTAAACCTTGTAATGATTGGCCAATTTAGTCCTTTCGACCAATTTTGATATGAAATTGCTGACGTGGTGATCTAGTCAGCGCTAACTATCCTGCGTGGCATGGTCGGTGCTGATATGGATAATTTTTGCATCTTTTTTCTTTTTTTTCTTTTCTTTTTATTTTTCCCTTTGTCGGCCCAATCACGGGCGTCCCGACAATGGCCAGTGGAGGGAAAAATAAAAAATGAAAAGAAAAGAAAGAAAAGAAAAAAGAAAAAAATTGTCTATGTCAGCGCCGATTGTACAACATTGGTCGGTTGGTGTTGACTAGACCGCCATGTTAGTGATTTCTGGCCAAAATTGGCCAAAAGGACTAAATTGGCAAATCGTTAAAGGTTAAGGACTAAATTGACAAATCATCAAAAGGTTTATGGCTAAATTGACACAATTTAAAAGTTTATGACTGAATTGGCCACCGTACAATAGGTTTAGTAGTTTTTGGACGATTTTCCCATCTCAAGTGACACTCTCTCATGTGGCTAAGACTTCTACTATTCTTTCGATTAAATTGATTCACGACCTCGTCTTTTCTCATGTGGCCGAGCCCACAATTAGGTCCGTCAAACGAGTGGGTCAAGTCGGATTGAATGGTCCGACCCATATAGAACTATTTATACACAATACAATTTTAACGACCCATTCCCGATCCAAACCCAAATTCGACCTGACCCGGATGCAATTTCTTAGCAATTTTTCTTCTTAAATTTGAAGAATGCGCGACTTCGTGGATTGGCTTGCCTAGTCGATGAGAGAGCTCGGGTCGGGTTTGGGAGAAGGGTTATGGACGAGAGTGTGAAGATGGCGGTGAGGCGAAGGGTTGTGGATCTTGCCTGGGTGATGAGCAATGCCTTTGCTCTTAGGAACCGGTCTGATGGGAGTCAGCTGGCCAAGGTAACGTCCCGCAAAGTGCAAGAACATATGCATAAATACTCTTGTACGAGATTTCAAGGCTACGAATCATTACACTAGCCAACATAGAGGATCTAATAGGTGTCATGTAAAAGTACCGATTAATATTGTTATTGCGATCTATTAAATATAAAAGAGAGAGACAAACCGATTTAATTAATATCATTCTTACTAGTGCATGTCAACAACTAAAGTTTATGGGTCATCATGATTTGGAGCTCTAAAACTCCCTCGTAGATGTAAAAGATTTTCAAACCCATGTTTTGATTAAGATGAAGTGCATCCCAAATCGAATAATATAAAGAAACTCATCAAACTATACAAAACTGTAGAGTTCTCACTTTCTATCGATACCACAAGATTGGAGGATACTAAAAGATACTCAACAACAATTAAAATCATTCCATGATTGTAACGACCTGGGTCCCACTCGCAAGATATTGTCCGCTTTGGACACTAAGTCCTCACGGTTTTATTCCTCCGAGGGCAGCCCATACTACCCCCAGAAAAGGCCTCTTGCAAGTTAAGGCTTCCCAAGCCCTTATAAATTAGCCCAGGACTCCCCCCCTAAGCGATGTGGGACAAGAGACATGCCTCCCTTGCCATCCTAGAAGCCTGCTAGGAGCCGCTCCTTGTCCAGGCCCTCTGACTCCGGCGACCACTCCCCGCCTTCGTCGGACTGGGTCGTTACATTCTCCCCTCCTTCGAGCACAGCGTCCCCGCTGTGGCCCCACACGCGGTCGGGAGTCGGCTCTGATACCATTTGTAACGACCTGGGTCCCACTCGCAAGATATTGTCCGCTTTGGACACTAAGTCCTCACGGTTTTGTTCCTCCGAGGGCAGCCCATACTACCTCCAGAAAAGGCCTCTTGCAAGTTAAGGCTTCCCAAGCTCTTATAAACTAGCCCAGGACTCCCCCCTAAGCGATGTGGGACAAGAGACATGCCCCCCTTGTCATCCTAGAAGCCTGCCAGGAGCCGCTCCTTGTCCACGCCCTCTGGCCCCGGCGACCACTCCCCGCCCTCGTCGAACCGGGTCGTTACAATGATGATCGGGTCCGCAGTACTCCCACTCGGCCGTCCTTAATGTGTGGCCATTAATCGTACAGTTGTAGCACCATGTCGCCCTTGACCATAGCCTGGGGATCGTCGCCATGGCCCATTGCAGGTTCGAGTTGGTTATTTTGATATACGTGCACTATTTATATCTAAATTTTGGCGACACATTTAGTTATTTATTGCATAGGAAAATTAGGAATTGACCATGTCCTCCAAGCCAAAAATATTAGCTAAATTACATATAGATGTTAAGAGCATTTTAATTAAACCTACATAAATTGCATTGTAATTAGACTTGAACTAAGTGGATTGGTGCAGGTTGGTTTTGAGCTTAATTAAACTAAACCTATAAAGTAAAAATCATTCAACCCATCAAGTGGCCGAAAATCTAAAGATAGGGGGGGTGCCAAGTTGAGAGTTACAACATTTCAATATTGCATTGAGAGCACAATGATCACTTATAAAGGTTTAGTGTGTCTTGATGCCACCACTAGGTGGAACTCCACTTACCTATTGTTACACACTACCATAAAGCTAAGAAAAGCTTTTGAAAGGATGGATGAAGATGATTTTTCTTTTTCATCTAAGCGTAAATTTGATACTCCAAATAGTGTTGATTGGGAAAATGCCATTATTCTTTGCAAATTTTTGAAAATTTTTTTATGCCACCAACAAGATGTCTAAGACTTTATATGTCACTTCAAATGATTATTTTGAGAAGATAGCTTCTTTTTATAATTATCTTAAAGAAGCGATGAATGATTTGGATTTTAGGGAAGAGAGCTATGTGACATCCTGAATTCGACCCACTTTCGTGATCAATGAAATGGATATGTATTTCTCATTTCGTTTTAGTAAGTCTCGCCCGGAACTGATCATTCTCGGGATACTGATCAATAGGGAATGGCTAACTAGGAAAACGGTACGTGAACTCGAGAACTCGACCGTGAATCGAGCTCCGATTCCAAGGAACAACGAGAGAATATTTTGGACCAATGCGGGCCGATCCAAGGAGGGTGACAGATTTGGTTTTGCCAATGAGGTACGATCGGATCGCGGGTGATTCCGCACGACCGAGAGTGCGCGTGGCGAACGGTCCTAAACCTACTCCGAACGATCGCGAAATCGGAACTAGCGATATATTCTCACGTTCTCTTGGAAATCGAGACCGTCACGACTTGAGTAACCCTAGGTCGATACGCGTAACCCCTAAAAAGCCGCTCGTTAGTGAGAGACGCTAAAATCGCATTTGAGCGAAATTGATTGTTGAATTGGATCCGAACTCGAGTGTCGAATTTCACGGACGTACGCGACTATTTTGCAAGGACGACGTCGTATTAGTGTGGCCAATTATATTTGGGATCGATATAGTCGAAAAATGGAATTTTGGACCGGGAGTGAAAAATTACCGTTTTGCCCTTGGACCCTAAGCATTAATTCCGAAAATTGGAGGGCATTTTGGACTTGTTCAGCCCCCCTTAGTGGCCGAAAATCATGGACCAATAAATCCCCCATCACCATTGCTAATCCCCAAGTTGCCCCTAGATATTTTGTGCAAGAATCAACCTTGGCCGTTGGTTTTGGATATGAATGATAAGTGTTTAAATCTTGGCCATTAGATCAGGTTTTTAGTGGGGTGGGTAGCTTTGTAAATGTGAGTGGGGTTGGTCAACAACTCCCACTCAAGCTTTGTTCAAAACCTCTCTCTCTCTCACTCTCTCTCTCTCTCTCTCTCTCTCTCTCTCTCTCTCCTCATTCCCCCTCTTGGCCGGCCACTTCCCCTCTCATTCTCTCCATTCTCTCCTCTCATTCACGTGAAGAAGCCAGCCACCGCCGGAGCACCACCAGCCGCGGCCACACGCCGCCGCCGCCCGCCGGAACCGCCAGCCACGCCGCCGTCCACGCCACCATCTCACACCACCACCACCATTCGGCCACTCCATTTTGTCACGCCCCGAACCCGAACGAGCGCGCGATCATCCCTTTGTGGTCGTAATGTACGCGACATCCCAGGACTTGTCGCCGACCCAATCAAACACTAACAAGCAACGCATGTGGAAGCAACCTCGAACTCTCCAAATAACATATAAACAACGGGATAGTAGAGAGACAAATAATACACATTAACAAGACACTTTTATAAACATAACATCGATTACAACACATACATTTGCAAGCCTTCTACGAGATCACTATCTACGAA